TCTCAGAAGGGTAAGCTGAGGGAGGGGGCATTCCCAACATTTTAGAACAGGTCGGTGTCGGCCGGGATCCCAGATCTCTCCCTGTGCAGTCCTGGCCACTGGACCATCTGTGTCAGTTTTTCTCTTTAAGGGCATTCAATAAAAATCGGGATTTATCCAAAACATGCCTGAGGGTGATTATTTGCTTTGCTAAATAATTCCTGGGAGCTTATTTAAATGCCAAAATCCCTTACAGACTTGAGAATAGTAAAAGGACACAGCTTTCCGGACACAGGATCTTGTTAAAATGCAGTACTGATTCCTTAATTGTGTGTGTGTGTGTGTGTTGGGGCTGGCAGGGTCCCTGAGAGCCTGCTGTCCTCCCGAGCCCCCAGGTGATGCTGATCTGCTAGTCCAGGAATGCTGAAGATGTAAAGACTAAAGGCTGAGTTCGTTGGACTGTGGCAGAGAGAGGACAGTCCTTGTGGTGGAGTAAGAAGGGGCCATGGTCACTCTTGGCTCCAGCCTCCTGGTTGCAGCCTGGGCCAAGCTGCCAGAGGTGGAGGCTGGCAGGGAGCCCACAGAGTGGAAAATCACCCACAGGGCCCAGGAGTTTTAGGCTTCCTCTGGGCCATTGGAGTCCTAGAGCAACACCAGGGTCTAGCCCGCCTCAGCCTGTGGCTGTTTGGCCAGCTGCCAGGGCAGAGTGTTCAGGCCAACTGAGCTCCCGGAGTCAGCCATTTCCTCCCTTTTCTGGGAGCTCATGCAGCCGATGTCTTTTTCCTCTCTCCTGGTGGTGGCTGGTGCCGGGCTATCCCCTCAGCTGGCCTGGCCTGTGACCTACTATCTATCTCTGGGTTCTTTCCTGAGGTGGAGACCTCTGTGGGACTGAAGTGCCTCTGCTGCAGGCTCTTTCTACTTGGACCCATGGGGGTCCCCTGACCTGTCCCTGGGCTTGGATCATCTACCAGGGAATCCTATTCTTAATGGCCCCTATGGGGTGGGGCTCGTAGAAGAAAGGTGGACACACAGCTGGAGGATCCCCTCAGGTACTCTGTCCCCTCCCCGTACTCATAGCTCCCAAACCTCCATGCAAACTAATGTCAGTTAAGGGGCCGGCCCAGTGGTGCACTGCTATAGTGCGCCGCTTGGGAAGCGCGGCGGCGCTCC